CTCCAAGTGCAGCTCCTGCTAAGATTGTCTGTCTGGAGCAGCAGGGAGGATAAGTGGCCGCAGTGTTGAGTAACTATCATTATTTCCTAAAGCAACTGACGCATTACCGGGGTCTCTGCCTGGATGTATCACTGGCCCTGTCGGTGAACTTGTACATTATGAGAATAGAACTCACAATGACTGCCAATCAAAGTTCCCGTAGACTCTTTCTGGTTGGAGGGGGAAATGTGTGAATCAGGACCACTGATGCTGAGCCAGAGTGCGTTTCTTCTCTGGTAGACAGATGACAGATGTTGTTTCAGATTTATTTAAACTGACAACTCTGATAAGATAATAGGGGTCGTTGTGGCGCGGGGAGTAGAGCGGGTGTGCTGGGAACCGCAAGGTTGGTGGTTCGAGTCCCGGCTGCCCCATGTCTCAAGTCGAAGTGTCCCTGAGCAAGACAACTAACCCCTAATTGCTCCCTGGGCAGTAAATGTAAAAAGCCATGGGTTTGAATTGTAATGTAAGTCGCTTTGGATAAAAGCGTCTGCTAAATGACCTGTAATAATAATATCACTGTGTGCAATGCTCTCAACTTGCATGAAATGCCATTCAATGCGTGGATAAACGCCACCACGGGTGGGAACTAAAGATTCAGCAGCAGCCCTCGCTCAGCGCATTAAGCTCAACTTCGAGGAGACAGAGCCAAAGGAGCCAAAAGCCTTCCAGGATACACGCTACACTCTGTTTCATTTCATCTTGTAAAGAAGAGACACAGTCTGACATTTAATAAAGAATACAGAGAGGTGGTTTGCTATGGCTACCTACAGGATGGGTGAATTATATTGGGAGAAGCCAAATACCTGCTCCTGAGGTAAGGAGCAGGTATAACCACACGGCTGGTGTGGTCAGTTACATTAAATTACATTTAGCTGATGCTTTTATCCAAAGCAACTTAGAATAAGTGTATTTCAACCATATTGATACAGAAACAAAATAACAAGAAACAAAAAAGTACAATTTAATTAAATAAGCCGATCTACAACTTATAGATATAGATGAGAGCCATTATCAGTGTGACTTAAAGGTCTTCAAATATCTCTCTGTTGTTGGCGCTGAAAATGTGTTAACATCAATATTTTAAATCAATGCAAATCGTTTCTTTCTGATCTCATTAATGTGTCCAAGATTAATGCGATAAAATATGTTAACGCAACTTTGTTTACTTCCGGTCTTTCGGTGTGCTGGAGGTAAACAAAGTTGACCCCGGAAACAAAACCGCCACTAGCTGCAGTCAGTTAGACAGGAGAGAGGAGAGACAGTAGTTGAAGATGGAGAGAGCTTTTTGCATCGGAAGTAAAACAAACAAACAGAATGGCGATGAGTTGCAAACTTAAGGACTGCTTAAGGAATTCTGCCTCAAAGATGCTCAAATGTGTGTAGTTTTGTGTTTAAAATAACATTAACAATTAAACAACAGTGTCTAAAATACACGCTGTGTAAAGTGATTAGTCTCCAAAAGAATGAAACACTTTTAATGAATTTCAAAATATGTGATTAATTACAGAATTTCTAGTGGATTTCATAATCTGTTGACAGCCCTAATAAATGGTAAATTGACTTTTCTTCTGACCAATAAAATACTGCATATCACCATACACCCATTAACATCCATTCATGCCTTGATGGCAGGGTCTACATTCATGGTGCAACCTGCTCTGTAGCAGTAACTAACATCCATCCCCCATGTATTTGCTGCGGGCAAAGCCTACAGGAGCAACTCCTAGTGAAGTGTCTTTCCCAAGAACATATCCAAGATCCGCTGGTCTTTAGATTAAAGGATTACCCGCTGTAGCACTAAACCACAGTGGCCTCCGACCTATTAGTTGAATAGTTGAAGGATCACGTTACGCTTTGTGTGCCCAATCAGAGTACACACTAAAGGTCAAGCTCCAACAAAGCCAACAGAACTACCTTATCTAGAAAAAGAAGCCTCCACTGTGTTTCGTTTCATTCATCTATTCAAAAGTGATGCAAATGGACTAAATAAAAAAACATATTTTAAGAGACAAGGAAAACATAAAGTGACAGATTCATTCTGTAGGATATGATACTAAATTCACCAAAATTTCAAAATATGTGATTAATTACAGAAAGTCACACACACTTTCAACTACAGAAACCGTTTAGCTATCAATTTATAAAGGTCATTTTAGTTCTATTGAGGTCGTTTTAGTAGACTCCTATTATGACTCACGTTTCTACCTCCCTTTTTCAAATATTAAGCAATATTCATATTTTCTTTAGAAGGATTACTGCTCCCACCAATACTACTACAACTACCACGGCAAAAACTATTATAACTGAGTGACAGACAATGAAGACTTTGTCTCCTGCAACTGGCTGGCTGGGTTTTTCTGGGTTCTGGCAAAAGGAGACGAGCCGCAGAGAGGTGGCTGTATCTTATCAGATCAGGTGATTCTCACGCTTCACAGCCATCAGCGCTGTGAGGGATGAGAGGCTCCTTCAAGCATTCTTCAGCCAACCGAAAATACGCTTCAACGGGATCCTCAACCCCACAAGCTTGCTAATAGGAAAAGATGGAGGGAGAGATGCAGGGAGTTGGGTCTCGAGCAAACAGTGGAGAAAAGCCAGAGCTGGGAATGAACAGCCAATGACGGCTTTGCTCCCTGCCCGTAAGCTGAGATGGTTTGGCATGACTGTACTTATTTTGTCATCTCGTCTGCAGTAATCTCAAGACTGTTGGCAAGTCAAACCTCCGTGAAACAAATAAGGGGATTTCACTGGAGACAACACACAGCTCAGCACGCAGAGCCTGCACTTTGCTTCGAGTGACGTACTGCTGAGGCTGGGCAGCAGAAACTCATGAGCACAGCTGGAGGCTGCCGTCCATCACATACAGTTGTGTGATACACACTAACTATTAAACTCTCCACTAAGGGGCCAGTCCATCTTTTATTTCATTGAGCGCAGAAGTGTCCATACAGGAACAGGAACATGTGTCCAGCCCCATGCGCTCTACCAAAAGGTGTCTTGGACAACACAAGTCCCTCAATAAAAGACATTCTGAGAAAAAATAATTGTTGACATCACCCGCTAAAGCCTAGTTTGGTTTGCGACCAAATTGTCGGTGGAACATTGTTGGACTAAAGAAAAAAAGTGAAATCCAGATATTGATGAATGAACTCCAAAGGGACGTAGATAAGCACATAACTAGACCAAAGTCCACAACTGTTGGGCCAACAATCACATACCCTGAAAAGGTTGTCACATTGACCCGTAGAGGGCGCTACAAATGCAACCTGATAATGTTCTGTCAATGCATAGATGCAGAATGCTTCACGCCTGCATCTCACAATCAAGATCTTTCAACAGCTATTTAAAAAAAATCTCAATGAAATTAAATTAACCGAGCTCTGTGATGTGACGTGATAGTAACGTGGAAAAGATTAGTCATATTCCATCCACAAGTGCCTAATCACCAAGTTTCTACTGCTACCAGACCGGGCTCTGGTCTGAGATGGATCTTTTCTTAATCATTTCCAAAATGATTTGAAAAATAATTGTTCATGAAGAGAAAATGCCTCCTCTGAATTTTTTTTATTCGTGACAAATGACACAAATTGCTCCCACATTATGGGATGCGGCATAGGGCGGCTTAAGTGAGATCTTAGAATGTGACTGAAAGTTTTATGTAATGATAATGATAATAAGAGAACCTGACTTCTTTACTGTCCAGACGAAGTGAGAGGGTTCTGCCTGTGTGTGTTCATGTGTGCTGGGGAGGAAATTGTTTATTAAGTCACACCAAAGACTGTGACCATCACTGACGCCAAGGGGGGAGACTAAACCTATCACATATGAGATTGGAAGACAGTTCCTTAAAGAATAGTCCCCTGAGAGGCGTGTGATGTGTGTAGTGTTTGTGTGTGTTTGTGAGAAGCTGTAGATGGGTGGTGAGATGCAGGACCTCCATCAGGCCTTCTGCCTTGCACAGATAAGACAGGAATGCTGCGAGTAAAGGAAATCAGGTGAGACGCTCCTACTGGAGACCAAAACAACTGAGGGGAGAGGATCAGAGCGCTTCCAAGCATCCACCCTTTAACTTTGCTTGCGTGCTTTGAGGTGCCCGCCCCTGCTGCTGCTAACCCGCTACAACATTCAACCTCTGGTTTGACGGCTGGCTGACAAACAATAATGAAAAGTTTAACAGTAAGATCTTCCATGGTACCAGTGAGAGATTTACACGATTTATTTTCTGTGTTTCTCTATTTGAATCTGATAAAATGTCCTCATCACTGAAAACCCAGTGGCCTAGGATTGAAATATACAACCGTATCTTTGTTTAAGAGGTCTGACCACGTAACCTTAACTAAAAGGTAACTATATTTTGTCACAGATTTATAGTTCAGGATAGCTCTTAAACTTTGAAATGAAAGTTAGTTTAACTTATATATCTATATATAGATGTATATCTATATATGAAACAACTCAAAATATGGCTCATAGCATTGTTTGATCCATGGAACTGTTACTACGGAACCAGATGCACCTACAGTAGCTCCTCCCACTTATAATGTTTGATTTTTACAATGTTAATGCAGTTTCTAACATAACTAAGGGTCCTTCTATCCTGGAAACACTGAAAATCATCCTACCATTGCTATTCAGACATGTATTGTGTGAAAACATGGTTAAAAAAGCATAAACTAGAACACATGTGGTACCACTCACATATAGATTGATGGCTTTTCTGAGAAGTAATACTTATACCTAAAATAACAGTGTGCTGTGTGTATTTATGACTAGGCACGTTGTGGAATGAGAACTCAGCAATTAAAATGGGAATGGGCCAGTAAGCAGGTGGACGGACGAGGAGAGGAACACACTTACTGTACATAAAGAAATATGATTCAGTCGGCCGTAGTTTCCACCAACGGCAGTGTTCATACAGCACGTGTTCGACATTGAAACGAGTTTGCAGAGTGAGTCAGTACCTGGGCGTCGGGGAGGGAGACGTCCATGATGACCGGCTGCCCGTGAGGCTCCCCGTTCTCCAGTCGGGAGTACACCACCTGGTAGCCTCTGATTTGGCCATGCTGCTTCACCGACAGCGGAGGCTTCCACGTCACCCTGAGCGCCGTGGAGTTGAGGGCATCCGCCTCCACCTTCCTGGGAGGAGCTCCAGGCACTGCAGCACAACATAGCACACGACTTCAACGTTCTAGTTTGAATGAAATGGTCCAGCTTGCATTCATATTGATTATGTGTATGTATGTAGGTAACCAATATGATCAACAAGTCATAGCTTTATCGCAAGCACACAACCAATTGCTTCTTTTTACTATCGCGTCCAGAAATAACCACATGCCATTTAACATTAAAAGGTCAATGAAAGAGACACATGTGCACATGGAACATTATGATCACATTCACACTACACTCCTTATTTAAAAAGCTCTCCAGACTAGTGTTTCCAGGTCGTTCACCGTCCTCAGAGAAAGACGAGAGAGAACATAACAACAGCTAAACTTCTTCTTTGCAACCCCCTTGGTGACGAGGAACAGCATTGTTGCAACACAGAATAAAGTCAACAGCTGTATTGCCAATTGACAAAGTCACAGAGAAGGTTTATAGCTGCCGAAAAACCTTCTCAACTTCATAGAAAAACAGACCCCGACACTCACTGGCCAGCTTAATGTTATCAATTTGTGAAAGCTTGGTTTTCCCACCAATAAACTCAAATATTCCCTCCCCCAGCTTGTCTAGACCAATGCTTATTTCCCTCTGCAACGGACACCCACTGACGAAGCACTCTAGCATTTATATGAGACGTATGATTATCAATCATCTCAATGTCCTTATTTTACATACACTTCCATAAATCACCATAAACCAAGTCATCATCTATTCCTAAACCTATAAATTTTCTTTCAGGAACCCTAACCAGCTAGTCGTATTGCCTTTACCTAAACCAGTACTACTGTTTTTGTAAGTAAACCTACGTTGGACGTTTATTTCTTTTATTAATAAAAGTTATACAGATATGCAACCGCAGAAATCGTTTAGGATGCAGAGGCATGACCTATGACCTCTGTTATATCAAGTCTGTTCTCCCATACACAAACCAGTGGTTTCTCTTTCCCAATCTGATAAGTAACCTCAGAGTTTGAAGGTTCTCCTGTCCAGCTGAGATAGTTATGGGCCTGGAGATGCACACGGTAGTGTGAAGGTTGCTGGCTACCTTTTATACACATCAAAGCTTGTCACACGGAGCCCTCAGAGGATGCTGGGAGCAGGGGTTATTCTACTTTATAGAATATGGAAAATGAGCTCATGAAGATCCCTCCAGACTGCTTGGTCAGCTTTACAGGGAGGTGCAAAGGAATACAAATTTTACTTCAATAAAAATGAAAAGGATGAGGTTGTGAAAATATTAATGGAATTCGAGGGAGACAAGGAAAGGAAAGGAAGCGTTAAGGTTAAAGTGTCCTGCGCTAAGAGATTAAGACATGTAGAGAAGTGCTAAAGCAGCTCAAGTATCAACCAGCACAGCAGGCCAAGGCAAGCTGCAGAACTCGGTGTCAGCACTATACGCGCCTTAGACTAACTCCAACCGTTTAACCTCGTAAAATATCAGCAAGCCCCCACAATCGTGCTCCAGGAAAGAACATCAATAAACTTGTGTTATGCAAAATACAAAGCCACAGCCAGTGCAGTGTGGAAGAAGAACAAAAGAAGCATGTCAAAGATGAAACACATCTTTGCACAGGACATGTTAGCAGCTGCTGGAGAGGATAGTTGGTTCATTTTCACAGTTCAGGGGGCCTCAGCGTTGTTAACCAATCTAAAGCAACCTGTGTTATTATTATTCAATCAGTAAGTAAGATAGTACACCAGATGTGGTGTAAGGGTCAAACAAACACAGGACTTTTACCCAGGAGAGCGCTGTTTGCGTCCAAAGCTACATGAATTGCAAGTTGCATCTACCACTGTCTTCTTTTTTAACCTAAACAGGTGGTTTGTGCAATTTTCTTTTTTGTTTAATTGAGTCCAAAAGTGATGCTCGAAGAGTTTGTTGAGTGTTAAAGCCTCGGAGTCCAGACCACGCTGTTGTACTACGACTATGAGTTTGGGTGAGAATGTGTTGAATGATAACGGCACAAATATGTCTGCTCTACTTGTTGTGGGCTGCAAAGCACACTGCTGTAGTTTGTCACGTGACAAAAGATTAAAAAGAAGCTTAATAGCTATTTGTTTGCAAAACAGCACTACTTTTTCACACATGAACTGCATTTCCAGATATTGAAAGCTTTTACACACCGGGGGGACTTGACCAGTTCAGAAACAAAAATGCCAAATACTTGCAGCAGATATTTCGAACAACAATTAATCATCCGATTTGGCCACAGCTCTTGGTCATTATGTTTTTGCGCAGGCATTGGGTCAACTACCAGGATCTTATTGACCTGATGTAAACTGTTGTATAGCCTAAAGCTACTGTAAACTATTTGATTTTGTGAGTGATTTTGTGTTCCCTTTGATAAACAGTTCTAAATGCCAAGGGCTATTATTGTTAAAGGTAAGAAGAGAAAGGATGGATCTGGTATACGTAATTAAATGATGCGGAGTGGGTGGTGGATTTAAAATTGATCTACAGCTGTGGACGAATACCGACCTTTGTGTCCTGTTCTTCTGTCTCTCCCAGCTTAGCTGACCCCCATTTAGTAAAAGTCTTTCACGGTTTCCGTCTTGTAGCCTCACTAATTGTGCTCTGCTACTGCAGTTATTTTTTCATTATTAGGACTTTCCGCTGTTGTGTGGAGACGGCTGATGCGTTATGCAGAATTGCAGGGCCGGTTCATGTGTCTGTGGGTGCTGGGGAAGCTCTGCAGCAGCTGTTAAATGGTGGGCCCGTTTTTAATTGTCTCCTTAGTGTCTCTCTCACTGTGTCCCGTTTGCATGTGTTCATGTGTGTGTGTGTGTGTGTGTGTGTGTGTGTGTGTGTGTGTGTGTGTGTGTGTATTCTGTATATTGTGTATTCCCTCTGCCTGCCTTAAAGAGCGGCACAACCTGAACAACCTCAAGATGCTGTTGTGTCTCATTTGCATTTACTCCCTCATTGAATAACACTCACTGTGTTTTGGAGGAATTCTTAAGTAGGTACAGTGTGGAGAGCAGCAGCTAGGCAAGCCTCTTATTTGTGACGCATTTTAATGACAACCCGCTCTCCAACGAATCACTGTTGCAAACAACAAACATTTCTTGTAAATCATTTTTCAGAGGAGACATCACAGCAACAGCGCAAATACATTTCTAATCAATGTTTTATGATATGTGTGTTGTGTGTCCCTGATTGATCTGTTGTAGGAGCTGATGGGTGAAACACACTTGAGCCGATGTGTCTCTTCCATGTATTTGTTTTCGTCCAAAATTGAAATACAACATCGAGCTTGTTCCTCACCGCGGGTCAACAATTGATTGTGCTCCACGTCTTCACTGCACCCTCTGTCTCTGTCTTTTGTCCATCTGTCTCCTTGTATTTGTTCATAACCGCGGGTACTTAGTGCCGTACTATGTAGACCAATGTTGGGAAAAGGCTGAGTCCCACCGATTAAAAAGAAATGACTTAATTGGGTTTCATTTAAATACATCGGCAGTTCCAGAGCTGCGCTGTGAGATGGTGGAGACGTCAGGGAGCGAAAGGAGAAAGCGTTGTGATAATCCGGCAGCAGGCTGATACTAATGTGAGCTGAATGAGCTCGTGGCCTGAGCACAGAGAGAGTCCAGTCGGTGTGGAGAACGGACACATGCCGCACAAATCCAGGCGGCGACGAGAGCTCAAAGTCAAACGGGGAGCAGAGCGATGAAAAGAGAGACAGATTAAAATTCTGTGGGTGCGCACTGACGGAGCGAGGCGGGAGAGGCTGAAACAGAGCGAGAGAGAGGGAGGAGAGGGGGGACAGCGGGTGGAGAAGATTAGTGTGAGGGAACTCCCCACACTTTCAATTTATCTCAGTGGGGTTTTGTTGTAAGCAGACAAAAGTTTACCCTCCGTTCTACTTACGAAAACACATTTAGTGTGTCTTTGAGCTCTAACAAATGTATTATATGCAATTAGGGTATATATATATATATATATATAGCTACCATTTCAATTAAGAAAAGGGCTACATCAGATTGAAGCACAATAAATACAAGTTTGGGGTTTTCCGATGATCGTGGTTCACTCTGGTGTCCACAAGGTTGATTCGAACATCCTTCTCTCAGATAGAAGGACACATTTACATAATTCTCAAAAGGTGGAATCCTTTATTGAAGTTGTTGGGTCATGGCTAGATTGTGTCAAAATAAGGTCTCCATTTGGTGAACTTCTTGGCATACGACGGAGTTAAATTGAATGTGATTTGTCTCCATAATCCATGTATTTGAGCTGATTATCTCGTCAGCGCCATCCAGAAAAAGGGTGTTTCCCTTATTTTTACTAGAAATCAAACGGTCTTAATCGTCTTAAAGTCTTAACAACACACACACGATACGAGGTAATCAAACTGATTTGGAAGAAGAGGAAGAACTGTGTATGTGTGAGCAGTCGGACAGGTTCCACACCATGACGCTACACTGTCTAAGCATCATCTCGCCCTGACATCGTATCCGCCTTTGATACTTTGATTTCCTCTTGTAGCTTCACAAAAGGGCCTATTACGCTTTGCTCACATTGGTCATGATATGGCCAATTGTGCCCCCACAAGGAACAATATGAATGGACTTGTGAAGTTCTAATGGTGTCTGTCATGTCGCTGCTACGCGTTCTGCTTCTGATTTGTCTCCAGCAGTGACTCTAATAATGGCCGTGTGCAAATGCTGGTTTTTATCTGACTGAAGACAGAGAAAGAACATGTCCTGTTGCCACTCAGGTGCTTCCTCAGACAGTCAGCAGGAAATATGTTGGCATTGTGCGCTTCAGCAAACCACCTGATACGTAGAAGGGCCAGGATTCTGGAATACGTTTCAGATCAGTCTCATTTCCAGATCGCAGAATGCCAGGTGTATAACTGGAAACAATTGGTTTGGATTAAGCAACAAACCACTTAAGGTTGGCAAAAATTAAACTTATACTTGACTTATACTACAAGAATTTTGATTTTAAACAATACCAATGAAGGAAAAAGCAGCATTGTGTCCCAGATGGTTAACCACGTCTGGCACTGACCGTTAGTCAGCTGTTTACTGTAGTTGCACAATATTTTTTCTTGTTAAAACTAATTCTGGGCTGCAGTAACCTGACCTGCTGTATGTTTTAGTTTTTACATTCAAAAAATAAATGATTTGAATAGGAATGATCCATCATCTGTCAATCTGAAGTGTAAAAACATTGTCAACCTCTGAGGAAAGCCTTCAGGGTCGTTCTCTGCTCTCCTTTCAACTAAGAAATACTCTCTGGTTGTGATAGAACTGATGCTGTTGCCGGATCTAACAACGGAGATGTCGAAGTGCATTACTGTCTTGTCTTGCAGCTGTGAAAACTTTAGGTACCGTGTTTCAGAAGTGAATGTTCCCCAACCAAATGTATCAGGAAAAGTGTCATGAGCTTGGGAGCCAGAGGCAGTTGCCAAATTGTTTCAGCCATGCCAATACAAATCTAATTAATGATTCGTAGCACACATTCATTAAGAGCTTGCGAGACTGAACGGCAGCAGCAGGAGAGGGACGAAGTGGGTATCGGGAGGGTTAGTATTCCAAAGAGCCATCAACATACCATCTTCCTGGGTTCTGCTCCCGGCTGCAGAGCTCTCCGGGCCGGGCCCGACATCAGTGTGAGCCCTCACCCACACCACATAATCAGTCCACTTCTGCAGGTCCTCTAGCACATAGCTGGTGACATCAGCTCCTATCCCTGACACCTGGTGGCGCTCCACATCCTCCCCAGTGAGCGCCTGGTAGACTAGGGAGTAGCACGTTATCTCCCCGTGGCGGCTGTCTGTGGGTGGTGCCAACCACGTCACCTTGATGCTGGTGGAGCTGAGGCTGAGCAAGCGTACATCCTGGGGAGGGGCTGAGAGGGCTGATGGAGGGGAGGAGGGAGGGTAATGGTCAAGGGTGGATAATGGAAGACACAGCTACTGACCCTCTGGACTGAGAGATAATCCGCTAAGATGTTACTTAAAGAAGTTTGACTTTGTAAACTGGTCTATATCCTATTTATGGTTTATATTGTAGGACTATGCTTCATCATCAGGGTTTGAAGGAATCGTTATTCCATAACCATTGGCAATGTTGTTTGAAGTCAGAGAAGTCATAGACTCTTAGAAGTAAATACAATAAGTACAACCATGTAGGGTTCTTCCACGTCTGTCTCGACTGGTACTTAATTCTAAAGGTTCTTCACAGAACCCCTTTTGAGAAGTTCTACCGAAAACTCTTCAATAGTGTTAGGATTCCTCTGCCAAACCATCTGTGAAGGTTCTACTGAGAAGCCTGCTAGAGACCTGTATTAGCAGATCTCAGAAAACACATCAGTGTTTAGAGTGCAATCATTACATGAGCGATTAATGCAGTGACTCATTTCATGACAATGAGACTCAAGCAGATATAAACCAGAATAGTCTTTGAACAAGGTATAATATAAATTATATTATCCAAATAATTAGCAGCATAATGTTTTCTACAAGCCATATTGATATCAAATGCAATTTAATTCTCAATTTATTATGTGGTTCAAAGTGTATGGTTCATTGTTTTCATTGAACAGGGATTATTCTTACAGTCCAGAGAGCAGAAAAAAAACCCATGGTGAAACTTCACACTGTAGCTGCCTTCCTGTGAAACAACACATTACCAACACAGTGTGAAGTGTCGCCAACTGAAAAGTAAAACATGTACTCCACAGATGAATGCATGTATACACAACGATACACGAGAACAGAATTCAGTCGCAGGAGAACAGACGTGATTCCATCACACGTACGAGAACCTTCGCATACATCCACAGAGAAGACATGAAGATCCACAAGTGGGAGGAAATTACAGAACTTGGTGAAGAGGCAGGGAGCTGCGAGAGAAAGGGAATTAAGATTCATCTAATCCCTAACCAGTGAAAAAAAACAGATTTGTTTTTCATTTGATTTTTCTTAAAAATATTTAATTTTGAAAAATGACCTGATACTCTCCCAATTACATGCGCTTGTCCCACTTAAGCGACCTGTTATTTTGTTGTGTTTACCCGCCACACCTTGAAGATCGGTCTGCGAAATATTATCTGACATAAAACCGGTCCGTGAGACAAAAAAGGTTCGGGACCAGAGTATTAAAGGCATTTGTTATATTATGAAGTAACACTGGCAAAAGCAGACCTTTATCATTATCATTGCTCACATAGAAGTGTTATTATGGTACGTATTGCCTCTGATAAGAGAAATGGTCTTAAAAGATACATTCATGTTCTTTTTCAGGTTCTGTCTCTGTCCTTATTATTATTATTGTAAAAGGTTGCAGGGACGCAGTGACAAACAACTTCTATCTATGACTACACAGGGAGAGGGTGTCTTTTATTTGAGCACCAACGCTAAAAACAAACCCACTGCGTACCCATAGTTTCACAATTACCTTTTAAGGGCCCGTGCCACTGTGTCAGCATGCGACAACAAGCAAAAAAGAAAGCACATAACTGCTTGTGCTGAACCAAAGATCATGGAGAATGCTCGCTTTAGAGTTGGTACGTGTGGAATATCCTACTGCTCGTGTGACTCGGCCCGGATTAGAGATAATAGTGTAAAACACCACATGACATCATCTTGCTTTTCAGTGCATCTCCTCTGAGGGCTTGTCTATTTTAAGCTTGTGATATACACAGTATATGGACTGGTAGATGAATAGATGGAGGGAGTGAGAAGCAGTGACCAGTTGGCACAGGAGTGATGGCAGACTGAACATCAGAGCGACTTAACTCGTTTGTCTGCAGCGTGATTGCTGGCGCAGGGGTTTCTCTCCTCAGCGGTAAAAACAAGAGAGCGGGCTTAGATTCCTTCTGGGAGCCGTCATAAATACTGCAGGTTCAATTCCACATCTCCCAGCAGGCCAAAGAGGCACAGACCCGTTGCTAGTTACGCAGTCCCACTCTGAATGAAAGGTCTTCAATAGCATTAGTATGTGAGTGTGGGATGACCCTGCACATCGCTAACGCCGGTTATCATGTTTCACATGACAAACTATCGTTGCAAAGGAACACGACAGTCATGATGAAAGCTGTCTCTCCGTGCAGCAGCGGTTTTGTGTTTTCTTGGTCTTACATCATCATATGGGGTACATATCGACTCGGCGCCTTTATTAGACTATTTGTCAAACTAAGCACCGTGCAACGGCGGGTGATTTGTTACGCAAGGGCAGCAGAAAGCAGAAAGAATATAGAAATATCAAGCAGTAGTAGCGCGCCTATGAATGATGGATCCTGTGAGGCAGCATGTTTTTTTTCAAAACTCCTGACATTTTCTTTTGTTGTCGCCTCGGTGCTTGAACTTTGTAATTGAGTTGCATGTTCAGCAAAATGAAGCATGACTGACACGTGGAAGCAAGTCTTCACATAATTAAGAGTGCACTGGTAATTACATTCTAAGAGCTTGAACCAACAACAGCGCGGCGGTGCAGCGCTGACTGAGCACACACAGTTCAGGCTGCTTCGGTACAGGAAGTTCTGCTCTTTTATTACGTTGGGAGTCAGTGTTATAAAGCTGGTCTCTACTTGGCTGCAACTGTATGACCACACCACATTGTTGACCACAATAATGGTCCTTACGTGTGCACAGTAACGGAATCATTTTCAACTGGGGACTTTGAGCTGTATTAAGCTCTCTTTTTCGTTTTTTGTAGCATAACAACAAAAGTAACAAATGCTGGAATATGTCTATTTTGGTTCTACTCGGTAATTTATGATCTATATATATATATAGATCTATATCTATATATATATATAGATATATATATATATATATATATATATATATACATTATGGTGCTGTTAGGTTGGTGGGAGTATATTTGGTTGGATATTAACACAATGTGAGTTCTGAGAAATAAATACATCGATCCTTTTTTAACAAAGAGTGTTACTTTTGACTGTGACCACCACAGATGAAAGGACTGATACCTTAAGAGTGTATATGGAGCTCAGAACTATTCGCACAGCCTAAGTAACTTACATTGCAGGGTTTTCCATTTACAAAGCATGTAGGAGTCTGTCATTTTTAATCATAGATACTCTTCAACTGTGAGTGACGGAATCTTAAAGGGTAGGGGGGAATATCTTGCCATCTCTAGCCAATGAATGTCAGCGACACACTGAATATATTTATGTATATGTGTGCATTCCTTGCTGTAAATACCAAACTGGGTGAAGTCTAAACCAATTCCCCCTTTTCAATTATTTATATACCATTTTACAATGTTTTCTTCTTTGACAAAGTTGATTCATGTGCGCTTGACGGAGCAGACACGGCTACAAAAATACAACTAAAGGCAAAAAAGGTAGAGTCTAACTAACATGTGGTAGCATCAGATGCTGCTCACGGCTGGGAAGTTAGGAGAGAAAGGGCACACACACACAGACACACACACATACTGCTGTTAGCCACGTTCATTTCATTCCGCTTGTTGTCCATGTGTCCCTGGTATGAAACATGACATCAGGCAGTCCAATGACTCACCTGTCAGCCAATATGACGTCATCCTGACACCTCTCGGTTCATTTGTATTTGGTTGATTTCAACAGAAAAAAGTCATTGTCCGTACTAAATAAACAAAACCAGGATAGTACTCACTGGATTGGGCAGTCCTGGCCCGAGCAGGCTGAGTAAAGACTCCTAAACCCATCTCAGATTTTGCAGCCAGGGAAAACATGTAGAGTGTGTCTGGCTTCAGACCATCCACTGCATAGGAGCCTGCCGGGTCAAAAGTGGCATGTCGCTGTGGAGAGAGAGAGACAGCGTGAGATCGTCGAGGCCTCCATCTGGGTTTCGACAGTCCCACAATTCAGCACAAAACCCTCACAAGCAAAATCTTGAAGTTTAATTTACCTTGTTTGTTGGATTGTTCTCCTCCCAGTAGAGCAGTTCAAAGCCAATTATTGAATCCTGGACAGGCCAGAGCCATGACAGCATGATGCGTGAGTCCAGCTCGGCCTCAGCCTCAAAACCGGACGGCTGAGCTGGAACTGGAGGCAGAAACAAAGACATGGAGAGACTAAAAGACAGGAACAGACAGAGACTGTGAAGGGCTGTAGTCAGAGGAGGAAAAACAAAGTAAAGGAGTCACGAGGTGAAGTGGGAGGCCAGGCAATGCTGCAATCAATACTCAAAACTGAGGAAGTATAGAGAACGTCATCACTTTCGAATCCTCTGAGGGAATTTCAAAATCCCAAAAGTGTTTCATGTCCACAGGTGCCAAGACTTTACTAAGGTGCGTTACGCCAATATTGGAGGGCCACAACCTCGCCTCTCTCCGTTAATGGCTGCGTACGGTGGAGTTGTGGTGAGCCGTGTACGCGGCAGCCATTACAACTGATCTGAGACTGGCTTCGGTCTGCGTTTTGTTATAAGCTTGCTCCACTTACCTGAAGTAGCCAAGAAGTCATTTAATGCATCTTTAAAGCTCCTACACTGATACAGTGTTTTTTAATACAAGCTCTCATAGACAGTATGGGTGTGTGCACACTGTGTTTGATCGACATCTCCCCTCTCTCTCTCTCTCTCTCTCTCTCTCTCTCTCTCTCACAATCTGGTTCCATCTGTGAGAAAATGTGATCACATCCCTATTGTTATATTTTGTTGCTTGGTAACGCTTTTGCACCTTAACTTGACCCAGAAGGTTGGCACGCGGTTAAGGTTAAGAAGGGGGTCTCGGTGGCTCCATGTTCAGAAGAAACGCAGAAAAGAGCCCTCTCAGTACAGTACAGTACAGAAAATATGGTGGTGCCCTCAAATCAAAGAAAACATGAACTCATATAGGCTGCATTGCATGCTATGGAACTGTTTCTTTTTTTCAAAAGATGGGTTTACAGGAGTTAGCTGAAAGGTCTGCTAACATAGTGCCTTGGGCATCAGCATCAATGCATGAAATGGCACTGACCAGGTGTCTGTCTGTGTGACGCTGTGGCCGCGAGGCCAGTCTGATTACATAACGTACTTACATTATGTAATTCCCAGTATACTACATGCATAAGTCTAATTAGCTACCTGCTAATGCTACCTTTGCGGATTTGAGGTAATTGGTTGGCAGCTAATACAAGGCAACTGCGCTCCATAGATGCTGGGTTACTTGTTGTTCCTATGGTTTTAAAAAGTAGGCTGGGGGCCAGAGCCTTCAGTTATCAAGCTCCTCTTTTGTGGAACCAGGTTCCACTTTCAGTCCGGGGGGCAGATTCGGTCATCTCTTTTAAAGTAAAACTTAAAACGTTCCTCTTTGATTCTGCCTATAGTTAGGGCTGGCTCAGGTTAGCCCGGACCAGCCCTTAGTTAAGCTGCTATAGGCTTAGAATGCCGGGGGAATTCTTAGGACACACCAAGCTCCTCTCTCACGCTCTCGTTCTACCATAATTCAAGTTTTATTAATGCACATGACTAATTCAGCTTCTTTCAGGGAGTTTTTTTTGTGCTTTCTCCCCTATCAGGTCTGCATAGATCGTGGTTCCTTCTGGACCCTGGTCCTGACACCTACCGTGGCCATGCTGACGCCTGCTGCTGCCATCATCATCATCATCATCATCATTATTTTAGATATTAATCATATTACTGTACTCATAAACCAACATTACACTCTCCTAAAGTCTCTGTGCTCTCGCTCCCCACAGGCTTCGGTGGATGGTGGTTCTATGTGATGGTGGTTCTATGTGATGGTGGTTCTATGTGATGGTGGTTGCCCCTGCAGTGGTCCTGCTGTGTGCCTGGCTTACTACTCACAGTTACTTGAATCATTTCTGTCATAGGAATTGCATGTATTATACATTGTTCATTCTGTACACATGGCATCCATTGTAGTCTGTCCATCCCGGGAGTGGGATCCCTCCTCTGACGTTCTCCCTAAGGTTTCTTCCCTTTTTTCCCTCTTGGAAGGGTTTTTTCATTTTTTGGGGAGTTTTTCCTGTGCCGATGGTGGGTTTCGGGGCAGAGGATGTTGTATGTGTACAGACTGTAACGCCCTCTGAGGCAAATTTGTAATTTGCGATTATGGGCTATACAAAATAAAATGAATTGAATTGAATTGAATTAATAGGTGCTCCTCTGCAACGGACTGGACCACAACGCCTTTCCCAACATTTCAACACTATACATCGATTTTACATACAAGTTGTAATATTGACAGTACAAATTACTAATCCATGCAAAAACTGATACAAACCTCCCAGGGTCTGTAAAGTCCTGAGAGGTAATTGCTAAATCAAGTCAAAGGTTTGATAGGATAAGTGCTAATTTAAACTGATTAAACTGTATCCAACTGTACCATACCTTCATGATCCACGAGGAAGGGACTCAGATCTGTTATTTAAAAATAAAATGCCAGAAGAACGTACTCTATGTGTTGCATTTGATGCTCCTATAAAATAGCAAATAATGAACCAGGGATTCTCTAACCGAGCTGACTCCGACAGCTCATTGCTTCAGATAATACGATAAAGTAGACAGCCACATAATAGATGGCACGACTTGGTAATATTGTACATTAATCGCAGCGATGACTTCATAAAAACAACCCCTCCCTTCTCAGTGGGACACTAGTTACCAGACTTTGTAATATCAATTTAAGTCAAAATGATTTATGCCGGCCTAGAAGGGTCCTGAACTCTATTCCAAGTATAAATAAAGTGGGCCAGCTGAATTTGGGCATCTTTATCTTCCAATGCAGCCCTGGTGTTTGTGTCATGGTTCTTCCAGCCGAGTGGAAGACATCAGAACGGGCTCTCTGTGAATGAAATACTATTATTATTCCTCTACGTTTGTCCTTGGGGATAAAGTGTGTGAGACCTTCGTTCTACACACATCCCGCTGTATGCTCCTGGGTATCCTTGTGCATCAATTACCCCACTGTGCCCATTTCAGCTGGTGGAGATCTGTTGACTAATGTATCACATTATAGATCTGTATGATGGGAGTTAAACACGGAGAGACTACATTTACCCCAGACATTGTATGCTCCAAATAACTTCTTTTGTATTTACACTACGCAGACACACATAAGTGTAGCTTGAAGCTTGAAATACCTACGCAGATCAAATCAAACAAGTCAGATTCTGGAATGTAACTGGCAATTAAAAAGTCAGAGGAAACAGAATACTGTAATATTCATTCTTTACACACTTGCGATTCTATGTGTTTTATTTATTTACAACAATTAAATATGTAATTCACCTTCCGATATCAGGTCCATTATTGTGTAGAAGGGTGTACTTGGATTATAATGCTTTTACTATCGTAACCATTGGTACGCAATGGTTTTAAAATGGGACGATAAATCATCCAACAGTAGTTATTGTGACAGGCCGAGCTGTCCTACTGCATTTCATGCAGCCATAAACAACACCTTGGCTGCTCATCAACACGTTCCTCCTCTTCAAACGCCAAAGCTAAAGCAAGTAATAGTAGCCGATAACCAACCAACAATAACGTATCCCGAGAATGTATCGTACCTGTAGTTAAGGGCCGTAAAAAAAAAGCAGAAGAAGAAAATCCAGAAGAAAATGGGAGTTATCTGACAAACTGAGAGTGTTCTCACCTCCCTGCTGGGTCTTGATCTGCAGGACCTCAGAGGGAGGCCCGTCTCCCACTGAGGTGAAGCCCAGCACCTTCAGGTTGTATGTGATGTCCGCGGTGAGGCCCGAGATGGTGGTGAGCTGGCTGTCGTCGGTGTTGTGTTTCTGCCAGGAGCTGATGGGGCTGCCGGGATCGGAGCTGTAGTAGACCCGGTATCCCCTGATTTGACCGTTGGGCTCCTCCGGAGGCTCCCACTGGACCAGCATGGTGCTGGAGCTCAGCATGCGCGCCTGGACGTGAAGAGGAGCTGAGGAGGGCGCCTGTTCACTTGTGCGGGTGTCCACCACGCCGCTGGGAAGCCCCCGGCCGACATTGTTGACGGCCATGACGCGAAATTCATACTCAGAGAAGGGGCTGAGGCCGCCGATGCTGTATCGAGTTGTGGCCACTCCGTCTATTTCCTGGAAGCCATTGTCAGACAGTTTGGCGTGGTATTGGATGACGTAGTAGGAAACAGGCTCCGGGTTTCCAGAGTCCCAGGTAAGGGTGACGCTCGTAGCCGTGGTTTCTGTCACAATGAGGGAAGTGGGTGGCTTGGGCAAAGCTGTCAGAGAGCAGAAAGAAAAGGTCATGGCGTTCCGAAGGTTCAGATTTTGAAGCCCTCAGTACATTTTCAACACTGATAGGTAATTCATTGTTTTACAGGAGCCAGTCTTTGGCCTCTCTGGATCTGCCAAGGTCAACAGGTGGGGCACATGTAACATGTTGCCAAGCATGCGTGTGCAGGTAATTCCATGCAAATCCATCTGTAGTCTACTAAACCGGATCCCTGCACATATCTATTATGCAGCCACACAGCAAAGTACTGCTATCCGGAAGATATCCCAAAATGTATAATCCCTTTTATATCTAGACCGCTAGGTGTCTTTGAGCAAAACAAAGGACTTATTGAATTGTATCACTTCTTCGCACAAATGAACAGAATAGAATCATTATGTCACTGAGAAAGTTGTTACAGGCATCTAAATATCTCCGTATCACCGAATCAGAAATAGAGCTGTATCAAATCAGAGGTGCTTAGATTAGGATATCCACGGCCGACGGCCATCACTGTTTGTAGATGGTCACCAGTGCTGAGGCCACGTTAACTTTATTTCGATGGACGGAAAAGTTTGCACAGCCTAATTAAAAAATTATACCAACACAATATGAGGTTCTTTCGACATAAAAATGTCTTGCAGCCCTAGGCTTCACCCACCCTGAATCTTTAAAACTCCAATACCAAATCATAAAAAGGTTTTATTGCACCTCACATCAGCAACATTTAGTAATGACATGAGAAACAAGCACTCGTTTAGACCTTTGACAGTGATCTGGGCCGTGGTCTCGATCATGCCCAGGGAGGATATGGCCACGCAGGTGTAGTTGGCGGACTGCCGGATGTTGGTGAGCTCCAGGACGTTGCGGCCAATAGGCATCTCTTCCTCCCGGGTGAGCTCCACCTCTCCGCTCACCCACTTGACGAAAGGCATGGGCGCTCCGACCGCCACGCAGGTCAGGTTCACGCTGCCGCCGGGCATCACCTCGTGATTGGTGGGCGGGATGGAGAAACGTGGAGGCACGCGGCGCACTGCGGGGTGGAAAGAGAGGGAGTGTGAGAGGACACGGAGGAGGAAGGGGTGAAGGGGTGAAGGGGTTGGTGTTAGGTAGGGACCATTGGGCAGACATCATGTTTGACCAGCCTGGCTTGTACTGTGCACCAGTGTTCATTAATTGTTTAGGGTGATGGAGCCTGAACAACAGCTTGACTATCCCATCATGCTCTATTCAGGGGTTTTCTAAAAAGCCAATTTATTTGCTTCTCCTGCTCAATAAATAGGATTCAATACAATTTATTTCTCTCTTCGTTTAAATAGATGTTTCAAAAGTCTACAGGTAGAAACATTATTATTACTAGGTCCAGTAGTTTATTTTTTAACATCAAGTCTAACTTCCTTTGTGTTGCTTATAGATTTCTGCTTTTACAGCCACATTACCTTCGAAGCATCAATAATTGAACAGTATACTGTAACCGCCCGGGTAACACTTTAATGTTTAATCGTTGAAGAACAATGAGCTCAGCAGAGGTTCATTGCAGTTCCTGGTATTTACTGGATGTCAGAGAAGACGTTGATGCTTTGAAGCTGGGCAGAGAGTTCGAGAGGACGTTTAGTGGTTGCTCCTGTTGTGCGAGCAGAAAGGTTGAACGTAGGGTGGAAGCTAAACGGGCTGTTAGAGAGAGTACAGGAAAGCTGTGAGGTCCACGGCGGACTGTGTGCTCGTGAAACCGCCTAACGTCTTGTAGCCTTCTTACAGATGGACGCTGGCTTCAACAAACAACTTTAGATTGACATACATTAAAGCAGAGGGTGAAAAAATAACAAAATCTGTATAGAATTAACATTGGATTTACTAAACCTGGTTTGATACTGTTTAGCTTTGTTTTTCCTCGGAGTGAGCTTCCACAGATGGCGAGTAGACACTAAGGTGAGTGCCGCAGTACTTGTGGAAACGCCTGCCGGCGTTCCATCCAAATATTCTGAGCAGAAGCAAGATGACGACAAGAGTTACTGCCTTCAACTGCATTAATCAACTTCTTCTGTCTCTCACATCCATGGATAATGCAGCCTTCATCACTGTCCCGAAAGAAGCTGAGTAGTTAATGCTTTCTAAAAATGCAGCAGTTGAATTTGTTGAGAAAAGCCATGTAATGTCAGGGCTTAAGCACTTTTTATTATTTACCTCAGTTTTCATTATGGTTTATGTTTTACTTTCACAATCGCTATGCCTCCCTCTTCTTTCTCTCTTCTGTTATATTCTCTGTAACCTGATTGCAGCTGCCTCCCCTATTGTGTCCACCGGTGCATCGTACCGTTCATCAAGCCGTTGCACCAGTTTTTACTAGTCCTGTTATTTTGGAACCAGGTCGTTTGTGGATTTTGTCTCTGCCTTTGCCTTCTACCAACTTTGTGTTCCTGGACCGGGCCTTTCCTCCACCCCGTCTAAGGACCACCCATCTGTGACATCCGTTTGTGAGTTGTGCACTTGAGTCCTCGAGTTGCTCTTCTAGACCGGAACTCTTTACAGCAGTCTGTCGGGCTCTCCCTCTCAGAGCCACACGGTGTATATATTGTATTACCTGGTGTTATTCCAGGTAGATGTCACAATTAATTTAGTGTTCGCTGTGAGTAAATTGAGGCCCTGTGCCTGAGGTATGTATGGGGATTTCTGCTGCATTAAGGTCCAGGCCCTTGGACTCTACCGGGTTGAGAATATTGAAGGGGAGAACTCTACAGTAAGCCGTCTTCTCTGATCTCATTTAGCTGCGTCTGGATTGGCGCGACAGTATCTTGTTAGCGTTAAACATGCAGACGTGGCTATGTGCAGTCCTCGCTCTCTTGACTCAGCAGAGCAATGGGTCACGGAAATCTGACTCACAAAGTGGGATTTAAGCTGCGGGCTGGAATTTGCGCGTGGAGCGCTTTGGATCAGAAGCTTTTTTCAGGGTTTGGTCTTGGTTTAACTACAGAAGGGGACGAAGGGCGGGGGTTACAAATCCGATCACTGGGCCTTTCCCTTAAAAAAGAAAAATGGATGTAGAAGTGATGAGGCTAGAGTTTGGAACGGTAACGTGGTACGTTGGCTGAATAAGTGAGCTATGCCTGGGGGAGTGTTACTGTGGTGCAGGAGAGAAAGCAGTTTGTTTCGGGGAAATACAAGAAGAGTATTGGGTGCCTGCACGGCGAGCAGGGGGCTCTGTAATGCAGAAGGCATTGATAGAGTGCTGTGGTAAAAAAAAAAAATTCTACCGTGGCATTGATGCTACAAGATGGCCGTTTGATTAGGATGCAATATTGTCAACTTGCATTTTTGCTACTTTCTGGGTCGATTCCATGAATTCCAAAACTGAGTGAGCCAGTGTTTATATATACGGACTACTGGAATGACTTAGTATGTGACAACATTAATAAAAGTCACATATTAATATGAAAATGTATTATGTCATGAATGCCGTTGCATGTTGTTGAATGTATGTGACTTATTACATTAAAGGAGCAGTGTGTAACATTTAATGTTAGTTTCAACCAATTAAAAACCTCTCTCCCCTCTCCTCCCTCCCCAAACATGTCAGGGAACTAGTGTGTGTGTGTGTGTGTGTGTGTGTGGAAGAGAATTTAGCTTTTGGATGCTTCATTGGGGTTCTTGTAGAAACAGGACTATCTCCCTATCTCTATTTCCCTATCCAGATATGAAGAACTCACTGTAAGCTAAGAGAGACACACCGATTGATTCAGGTCATTATACACTAAGCTATTACATTACATGTCATTTAGCTGACACTTTTATCCAAAGCGACTGACAATAGGTACATTTCAACTGAAAGGATACAAACTCTAAAGAACAAGAAACAAGAAAGTGAAATTCCCTCAAATAAGCCGATCTACAACTTGCTATGGGTAAGAGCCTTTACAAGTACAATTTTAAGCTATAAATATCATATTCCATTTCCTCAAACAAATCCTAAACAGTGTTCTTACAAATGCTAAAAACAATATTCCTTGTGTATTAATACTTTAAATACTAAGATTTCAGGCTAGGTTTAGCCCTAACATCATTGGGGAGAATAAACTTTAATTGCATGACAGCCTATGGGACTAGAATCTACTGGTGCCATTATATTTTAGGCTGGTGCAGAGCAAAGCCAGACTCTGACATTTCATATCCCCATTCCTCTTCCAACACACGCAGTTGCCTGTCTTTAATCTCTAAAGTGTTTCCTAGCCATTTTTTTCCTCTTAGCTGACTCCTTCCAAAGAAAGATTGGCTTCGACAGCTAGGAATAAGGTTTTCATTTTGGGGTCGATGTGCCGGATGAAGGGTGCAAAAAGACCCACTCAAAATCAGGAGGGCAAGAGAGGGCTCCGTGTGTGTTGGTAGATGGAAACAGAAGGGCCAGTGATGGAGATCTCACTGATTATCACATCATAAAATGGTAAATTACCTGTTGGTATCCTTACCACAGCAGAGTGGGGGTAGGTATGGAACTAAGACAGGATGTGTTAGCCTCAGCTGGCCAGCAGTTACATTAGCACTCATTTACTGAACATAAATATTGGATTGGAACCATTTGGCAAACATTTCAGTTTCACGTGACAAGTGCAAGGAGAAGTGTGGGGTTCGTAGTCTATCTGTACTATTTATCCTCTCAGGAATAATGTCACTCAACAGGTATGGCGTTTTATCAATTTATTCTTAACATATTTTAAATATGATGTACAGAATGACCGTTGTCTGGCCAAGTATTGAGATGTCTAAATCTAACCCTCTGTGGTGAAAATGTCATTTTTACTCACAACTACTGCTACTCTCAACTTTTTGTCTATTAATGGTTACTTGAACATTTAATAAACCTTAATTATGAACAATTTTTTCATGTGTATTTCATTTTAGGCTGAGAACAATCGACTGTTCAGGAGTTATTTACCCCCCAAGGTCCTATAATGATTAATGTTGCATGTTAACATCAATCACCAACAACGTAAACATGCAATTACTTCAAGACGCCATCACTTCATTTTTTTATCGTAAATGAACATTTTGTGAATCTGTCCAAATTTGCCTATAAAATATTGATTAATGGCGAAAATTTGTTTTTGTAATGGCACAGTGCTCTTTCACCAACATTGAATTGGTTGATTTTTAACTGCAGGAAATATGAAAAAAGAGATTCCCAGAGATTCAGGAGAATGAACCCGATGTCGTGCGTAGGTACAGATGGACTACCCCCCCCCAAAAAACACCTCCATTGCGAGTTGGTGGCGATTGTCAGAGGTCAGTGCAAATCTGATGTTTCCAACACGTCAGTTGCACTTCTATAAATTACAGGGTCTGCAGCTTAGGGAATGCATACATATTTGATCCCTCCCACAGCCTCATTAGCCATCTCCCTCTTGCGGATGCCAAGTCACTGACACTCATGCTGATTAACAACTGCAGTGCACTTTCACACATAGATATTGATTTGCACTTGCCAGGTGAATACGAGCCCTTCCAATTGATTTGAGTCACATAACAGCAAGATGTGTGCTTGTTGATTAGTACTACATCATAATGTGCTGGCCAGCACTGAGGAAACCAGGAAGTTACCCAAGGACATGGGAGACGGTCACAATGTCATGACAATAGTTTAGAGTCAGCTGTTAAAAGTGATGTTATTAGTGCTTCGGTTGGCCTGATGGGTCGATGACACAGAGTAAGACTCAATTCATCACTCGGTCGCCACAATTATATTCAGGTAGTAGCAGATGCACATTAGGAGCAGCTGAGAGTTAGAATGCAGACACACTTGTATCTTTTACTGGCATGCCAGAGAAAGGAGGCGGGAGGAGAAGGGTTAGAGAGAGAAGAAGGTTTGGGAAGCCCTGTCCTAACAGAGAAAGAGCTGCACTTGTAGATGGAGGTGGGGAAGCATGTGCAATGCTGAGGAGATCATGCAGTTGCGCAGGTGGAGAGCCAGTGGCATGCTTACTGCAGGATTCATGGACATCGCAATGAAGAATGTTGTGAGCAGCAAGTTGAAGCAGCTTTTTTTTCTTCAACTGGACTGAGGACATCGCAGCTTCAAATCTAAATCTCATTTGATATTTTTCTATTTGCATCAATTTAGTACTTGGTATTAAATGTCCTGTGAACATGGAAGTGTGTTTCAAAAATACGCTGTCTATGTGATGGAGAAGCTGCTCCCGCGGGTCCAGAACTGATGCTAGAGCTGTAGATGGAAGGTCGTAGTTTGAAGCTAAAGGGCCGCTGTACACATCACACATCAGTTGTGATGGATGCTAATCTCTGCTGACATGACAGAAAGGCATCTCAGAAATGCTTGGAGAATTTTAGTTTCTGTAGTAACAACCTTGGATTTTTGTCTATGGTGTTTTTGTTCGTCCGTTTAAAAAAATGTTGGAGCAAATGCTTTGTAATCTCTTTCAATTACTTATTTCTAAGAGACGATAAACAACAAACATTCAGGCAACATGACGGCATTTTAAGTCAGTTGAAGGACACGTAGGGCAATATTGAATGCAATAAGGTGAATACCTTACATAAATAATCCACAGTGTTACACTTATGTGACAAGCCAAAGCATTAACCATAACAACTAGTTCACCATCATGTAAACATGATTGTATTACCTGATTCATTGCTCTTCAATTTCAGTCCTGATGCTCCATAAAAAGTCATCAGTATGCAGAAATTTAGCCTTTTAAAAGCGAGACGCTTGCGGTACAGAAAAGCATGAGGTGCCTTCGATAACAAACTCAACTTGGGAAGCAGAATCAAAGTGTGCTGATGTCCACAGCGTCCATCAGCACGGCCATGACAATGGTAAGTGCATCATCCAATTACTGATTTAAGTCAATGGAGTCTTAGATTCAAAGCACCTTAGTGCAGCGGGGGTTCCAGGGGCCCGGGGACAGGCAGGGGATCTGCTCATTGTGTCAAAGTAGTGCATGAGCCAACCGTTCAGGAGGTTGCTCTACACTGAGCGACACCCGGTTTGAATCATGCTCCTTTCCTTTTCCTTATATCAGGTGAAAGGACGTTGACACAGGAACTAGAACATGAAATAAAACATCCTGAAGCTGAGTGGAAACAAAAGTAACTTCCTAATCTATCGTTTACTGATTTATGTTTTGACTGATTTATGTTTTGCTATGTTAAGTTAACATGAGCCAACATTTTAGTTCAACTTAATATTAATAATATTTTTATTAAAATAGTATTATTTAATACTTAAATAGTAGTGAATATTTTGTTGGTCAAAAGTGTCCGTACACTAACCCACTGAGACAGAATATTAAACCGGAGGATTCTTTGGTACGTCAAACTGTCTCAGGACTGCAGCAGCGGGGATAGTAGCTCCCAAAGGTTTCCTCTGGAACCCACCCAGGAGATTTTTCAAAAAACGCAGTTATTTTCCAAAGGTTTCCATCTAAGGTGGTCAAAAGGTTTCATGTGGAACGCACACAAGAGCAATAACAAGAACTATTTTATATTCAAAGGGTTTCATCTGGAACCCACAGACGGGATTCTAGAGAGAAGTCTTTTATTCTGCAAATGGTTAATAGAGACCTTGGTGTCTCAAGGATCTCGACCCCTCAGGATGAACCCGTTTGGAATACTGTTGTTGAGGTTTTCGGTTTTAACGGGGCTTCTATATTTAGTTGCACTTCTGCAATACATTTTTCGAAATTCTTTCTGCATCCGAAATAACAGTATCCTGTTCCATATTCTATATCTCTTTATCTCTTTATCTTCCTCCCACAGTCCAAAGACGTGCTCTGGGGATCAGGTTGATTGGTGACTCTAAATTGCCCGTAGGTGTGTGAATGTGAGTGTGAATAGCTGGTGACCAATCCAGGGTGAACCCGTCCATTGCCTGAAGTTGGCTGGGATGGACTCCAGCCGCCCCGGGACCCTGTGTGCAGGATAAGCGGTTTGACAATGGATGGATGAATACATTTGTCTTAATGAGAATTCCCATTAAGTACATGTTAAAAGGAAATTGTTTCTTTTTTCCAAACTCTATAAAAAATATTCATTCTCCTGTACAGTCTGCTCTGCCATTTGTCACTGCGGCCGTTTCCAAAATCAGCCACCTGAGCCGGTATCACAATAAAACTAAAATAGCTTTGTGCAGGTAACAGCAACAAAAGCAATGTGTTCGATTTTAAAACACATATAAGATTCCTTGCGCTCATGCAGCATGTTGCTACGCATTCTCTGGCCTCACACATAAAGCCCCAAAAAAGGACGCATCACAAGTCTGCAAATCAACATACAAAACACAAACTAGAACAGCAGAGGCTGCAGTTATCTCAGTAGTATCATTCTGAGCTCTTCAATGCTTTCCTGCTAATGAAGGGTCTTGGAAAGGCCTGTAAACATGTTGAAGGGATTTCGTTCTATCCAGGATGCAGAGATAAGAGGAGCGCTTGGTGAAAGCAGTTTGAGCATAATGATGGTCAGAGCTGGGACGAGCCATGCCTTTGAATTAGTAGAGACAACAAAAACATAATCAGCATGCTGGAGAGGGCTTCATGGGACTGACATTTTGTGAAGTGAGCAAAAACTATGAACTCAGAGTATGTTGTGCTCATGAATCATGTAAAGATTGTTTTCCTTCATCAAGGAGTGTGACAAGAGCACATAGAAGGGCCCAAGTAGCCCCCGCTCGTTGCAAGGACAACTCAGATATTGACATCACTAGTTCTAATCATTAATTACAAACTCATCAGATGAACAACATGAAGTACAACACATTATCGCCCTGGCAGTGCACCTTCAAAATAAACTTCCATCTTCACAGGAAGTTAGGTTAGGTATCAAACCCCTTAGTTATGGTTAGGACAAGTGGTTTACATGACAGACAGCGCAGGTGGTTGATGGCTGAAGTGGGTAACCACTCAGGGGGCTCATGGCTCACAGGACTAGTGGGAGACTGAATGACAACTTGCGTGACTAACGACTAGAAGACAAACATGAGCCCCTCACACAGCTCTCATTTTTTAAATATAATTGTCAGTGTCTCCAAGTTAGGTTTGACGTTTTTCAAGGTAAAAAAAAAAAAACTGTTTAGATTTGGAAAATGTGATGCTATTTTCAAAGAAATGCCTATGTGCACCAATGTTTTCAGGGATGTAAGGGATCAGTACCTGGACCAGACCTGCTGTCAATATTAGAAATGTAATATTTTCTTACTGCCAGCACATGTTTGGTTGGCGACTTCCATGTACTAATCTGCTGCACTTGAATACAAATAAAAATATCTGCTGTGTGAGGTCAAGTCACAATAACGCATTTGTTTCAAATGTAAAGTTCATCATTCCCAAATCTGTGTAGAGAATAAAGAGTAATTGCAGGGGAAATCACTTCTCTCACCTTGTAATGTTTGCAGAGTATAAAAAAAGAGATTTCCCCTGCAATTACTCTTTATTCTTTATTATCCTTGCAAAGTTCCTACTTCCTACAACTCAAACTCAGTGTGAAATATCATCTTTTGTGTGAAAAGAACATCACTGGCCTCAAAGCCCTGCCCATTTCACAAAACTTCAGAGAAACAAGCTGCACGGAGTAACATGGGATGTAGCGCAAGGCAGCATATACTGTGTGGGTGGTGGGACGGGGGTTAGTTGGGGTAACAAGGGGGTAGCACTGAGGGGGTTGAGGTCGTGAGAGAGGGGCCGGGACGGGCCTGAGGCGCCCAGCGAGACGCTGGCGCAGCACGGCTCCAGTCTGCCAGGCCTCGGCTTTAAGGGGGAGGTGGGGGGGTCGAAGAGTGAAGAAAACCAACCTTCCCGTTGATCTGAGTGGTGAGATTTTGGATTGTGATATTTGGATGGCGGAGTGCAATGACGATGGAGGGGTTTCAGATAAAGTGAAAAAGAATAAGAAACAAAAAGGAGTAGGAGGAAGAAGACAAGGAGAAACAGAGTAAAACAGGAAAATATCTGCTTATCCATTAACGAGTGAGATAATCACAGTGGAGGCGACGGCCTGTGCAGTGAGGTGACCAGCACGCAAACACACACACACACACACACACACGGCATATAGAACATAACAATGCAGTGTGCACAAGGATACAGTCTCACATGAGCACAAAGAAACACATTTTGATGCCACTGTACAACATCGCTATTCCTGTGTTTCCAGTCGACACACACTTATGAACCACATAAACAGACACAAGATTGCAAACACGCACACACACATACGTTTCCCCGTCCTTAGCTCTGCTGCAGTGTTCCGAGGCCCTAAGAGCTGGTGAAATGAAGGAGTTAAGGAGGCCAAGGCTCAGACAGCCAGACCAGTAGAGTAGAGAGCCGCTGCTGCCCACATTTATTCTGCCCCTGGACTCTGAGCGAGCTCAGCCCTCGGCCCCGAAAATCAATGAGCGCATAAATATGGATCCCACTGATCGGATTAGTCAAACACTCACCTCAGAAATCTATGCTCCTTTTGCCATGTGCCTCAATGGGAACAGATTTTTTTACGGAGGGAGCAAATGGTGCATAAAAGACGGTCCTGTTGGTCCACTTACTTAAAACCCAATGTTAGCACAGGTAAGTCCTCACAATTCAGGTTCCCTCCAGCGCTCAAGGAGTCTGATTTCATGGGCTGAGGATGTATTTTTACAACGCATCCCATTGCCAGAAAAAAACACTTTGACTATCTGATAATTAAAAGACATGTTTCCGTGGTTACGGTGGGAGACACCTGCTGTGCAGTGCAAAACATGGCTCATTATGTGTAGTATACGTTGTTGTTGTTGTAATAAAAATAATAGGAGTGGAAAAGATTTTACGGGTGTTTGCATTTTAACCTTCTGGATTTCAGATACATTGTACACTGTACCTGAATGTTACAGTGGATCCTTTCGTCTATCAAATGAGTGTATTAAAATACTATCATTGAGCACTGGAGGCAACTATCCACAGTGTGATTGTTTGATATCAGAATTATTTAGTGGACCAACAGACCTCTTTCTGTTCCAAGTAACGTCTTGTATACCAATAGCAACATCCAAAGGCACACACTCTCACAAACAACAAAGCAAACTTAAAAACAGCATAAGGATAAGCATTGTAGAGATAAACAGAAACAGATAGTGTGTGTGTGTGTGTGTGTGTGTGTGTATACGACTGTGGAGGAGGGATTGTGAACTGGGACACAAAATGCGGACGAGAAAAAAAACAATAAAGACAGAAAGAAGAATGAAGACAAAAGAAGACGGACACTTTTGGCAACTTGCGCCCCTGGAGAGGTTAAAAGGTTAAAGCAACACAGACAGGAACCTTGAAAAGAGAAGCAGAAATCAAATCAAGTCATATACTGAAGACCTGACCTGGTTGGCCACGGCTCCCCGTTGGTGAAGGACTCTTACCACAAAGAACCCTCTTGTTGCATAAGAATTCTGATAGTAGGTAATGAATCAACTCTCTCGATGGATTTCCTCAATAAACATTCTAAACATGAGTTTATGGTCTCTCAAATAAAACCTAGCATGCAATAACAAAAAAAATGGCAAAACCTGACTTGGCAGCAGACAAGAACCACAATTCCGAGAGGCAAAAGCCACCATGGAAACAGAAAGAAACAGACACTGAAGAACAAAATAGTGACAGAAAAACTTGATATTTCTTCATTACAGCAAATCTGTCACTCTGCATATGGCAGATGAACATTGTATCAAGATAGAGGCATACAACCATTCAAGTCTAACAACCAGTCAGGATGCAGTTTGTGTAGCAGAACAACTTCATTATGTTATCCTGTTCCACATTTGTGTGAAATGGGGATACTTTTGAACAGGACTGTAAAGCCTGAAAAGAACAACTAAAGCGGTAATGAACCAGCAGTGGGGTTTTCAAATGGCCTATGAGAACCTGATAGTGGTTGAGGTTGTTTGTTGACGCGGCCCCGGAGCCCGTGTCTGGGAGCAACTTCAGACAGGGGACACATACGGGCGAGTGGTGTCGGCTTCTCTTTGTGGCAAGAGTCTACACGTAAAACTGCCCCTTCCCCCATATAGCCAACCTCCCTTTCATTAAGCACGGCGAGGTTAGCCAGGTCAAGAAACGTCCTAGATAAATACATAAGTC